CTTTTTTCTCTCCCTGCCGGAGAAGAGGTGAGAGGTCCTCGCTCCCTCCTTTGCCCTTTGAGCCCGCCTGGTTGACCCAGGCCGGGTAGACGAAACGGTAGCTTGTGTCGCTAATTGGGTCTAGAGGTATAAGGCTTCCGACCTTTGCGGAGAAGGTGGCAGCTTGTGGCCACTTGTGGAGGATGACCCCAAGCAAGTGTCAGCCGCCCCTCTTGTAGTTTCCTTTGGATTTGGTCCCTTGGAACTTTCATTTGTAATGTTCCCAGTGTCGCTAGGGGCTTCCCTACAGCTTAACCGTTGATGTTTTTAATACTAGATCTCATAGTGTTCCCACGAGTCGCTAGGGATAGTCGGTCCACTTCTACAGAGCCCCGTATGTAGAAGTAAGGGTAAATACAATGGGTGCCCCCTGATGACCCAAAATTGAGGCCAGTAATGGCTAGTGCTCTATCTAGCCACGCATCCCTTTGACCTGGTCCCGCCATCATCGTAGGATTTGGGTTTTTGGTGAGGTTGTCTCCTCTTGGTCCAGGCGGTTAAGGCAAGACACCCCCACACCCTCTACCCGCGAGACATGACCACAGTCAGTAGAGGGTGCCTGGTATAACGGACAGGGGTAGCCCCGTCCGGCATCGTTATATGTCTTGGTGCAATTCCCTGGACAAGACGATGAGTGAGATGCTTGTTAGACCAAGCCAAGCGCTAGGGCGATTCCACCCAGCACCTGAACAAACGAGTTGTAAAATTAAAGAACGGATGGTAAATTTACTACAATAATCTGTGGCAAGAAATAACCATCAATCACGAGTATCAGCGCGTAGCGGCGCAGAGCAAATCTAAATCTCGGACAGGTTGACGAGCGGCGACGATACCGCCAGCTACATTTCGGACATCTTATATCTTCAATCAACGATACAATAAATTAAAAATGTAAGTACTAAGTGTGGTACAAAATCCTATGTGTAACATCCCCAGCCAACAAATTTGGAATAGCGAATTTAGAGTTTGCGTCGCCCGAAGTTTGTCTTTTATCTGTGACGGACTGACGGCTTATTTTGAGCTTACGCCGTGTTAAGTCGGCTGATCGGTTTTTTTATCTGTTTTACCTTCTCCAAGATCTCTTCTTTTTGCTCCATTACTTGAAGGACATCTAATTTATCTCAGGAACCATCATGGCAATCTATTGATTAATTAAGGGAATTACACAGAAGAATGCAAAACGGAACCAGTATAATATACATATATAACTAAAAACAATAGCTTTTGATCTCGACTTCGTCCGCGTAAAACCCAAATCTCTTATACAGGGTGGTCCGAACTGTATTCCGGAAACTTCGGCAGCATATTCTGCAGATAAAAATAAGTAAAAAACTTACTATAAATGTATGTCCTAAAATGCTTAGTTTCGGAGATTACAGGGTGTAGGAGTTTGCTTTTTATTTCGATTGTTTCCAAATAATTTCTGAACTAACGTCAATATATGGATGAAAATTGGTATCTTGGAGTTTTTTGACATGAAAAATTTGATTTTGATGTCAATATGACACTTACTTGTAGATGGCGCCACCTACATATGTTTTAACTGCTTTGAAGAGTAATAACTTTTCGTCCGTATCTGTATAAAACTACAGAGTGAAAAAATCACTTCGTAAAAATCACTACCATCAAACGTTCTCAAGATATTTAGAGTGGAAATAGTCAATACATGTCATTATTGACAAAAAATAAACACGCGTTGAGTATTATATACTTAGTTATTAGAGTGAAAAAATAAATTTTTAGTTTTTTATATTAATCATAATTTTTTTCTTTGAAAAAATGATAATTAAACAGTTTCTGTTGAACTTTTGGCACAAAAACATTTCAAATTTATGATTTCAGTCTAATAACTCTTAAGTCACATGTTTAATTTATGTCAATGATGACAGGTATTGATAATTTCGATTCCAAATATCTCTAGAACCATTATACCTACTCGTAGCGATTTTTACAAAGAGACCTTTTTACGTAAAAAGTCGTAAATGTATTTTTTTCTACTCAGTAGTTTTATACAGGAATGGACAAAAAGTTATTATAGTCTTCAAACCAGCAGTTAAAAATATGTATGTGGCGCCCTCTACAAGTAGGAGTCATATTGACATGAAAATCAAATTTCTCATGTCAAAAAACTCCCAGACACCGATTTTCATCCACATATTGACGTTTCTTCATAAATTATTTAAAAAAATGAAATAAAAATGAGACTTCTACACCCTGTATTTCCGAAACTAAGCATTTTAGGACATACATTTATACGAGCTTTCTTATTTATTTTAATTTGCAGAATATGCTGCCGAAGTTTCAGGTATGACAGCAATACAGTTGGTACCACCCTGTATATCATACGCTTGAGAAAAAATGTCATGTTCAAAAAACTCCCAGACACCGATTTTCATCCACATATTGACGTTTCTTCATAAATTATTTAAAAAAAATGAAATAAAAATGAGACTTCTACACCCTGTATCTCCGAAACTAAGCATTTTAGGACATACATTTATACGAACTTTCTTACTTATTTTAATTTGCAGAATATGCTGCCGAAGTTTCAGGAATGACAGGAATACAGTTGGTACCACCCTGTATATCATGCGCTTGAGAAAATTCTTATTACTCGTCTCTCTATGTTCTGAGAGGATTTTCTGGCTCACAAATTTTTCTGTTCCGCTTTCTGAAGCATCATTTAGCGGTGTCTAAATTTCCGCTTACATTAATTGGCCATAACTCGCGAATAATTCGACGAAAATTTACAATAGCTCGGCCACGAAATGACACGAAGGGGTTAACCGGAGGCACTCTTCCGTAAAATGATGTAGTGCTTGGTGTGGCGCGAGCTACAAACAAAACAAAAACCGGCGCTACAGAGTAGAGAGATGGTCAACGGCTCTTAAGCCCCCGGGAAACACTATTTTCCTTTAGTCTAATTTGTTGAACGAGTCCGCCCGAAGCGTAGCCGAACTCTAACTGTGTAATTATGACAAATATTGCCTAAAATAAATTATATAAGTTCGGTCTTAAATCGTGAAATATTAGCCCTGCAAGCGTACGCAACTTTTATCATGATTATAATTATTTACAATATAAATAGCGTCACAATCCCACAATTAAGAGTCCATTTCATTGGTCCGAAAAAGTAGCAAAACAAGCGTTCGGCATTTAACGTTTCATGTAAAACTGGCTAGGTATTTTTACACAAATTAAGAAGGAAATTAAAGGTAAAGGATTATACTATATCCGTATGGCAGCACATTTTTAGACAACTTCTTTATTTTTAAGATTTTGATGGTCAAACATCAACAAAATATTCCTTATGTTTGGACTAAATTTTCTCGAAGGTAAAGACATAATTTAAAATTCCGGTACAATACGGAAATAGATTGAAGTTTTGTGATTACAGTGATATATAATTTATATGTTGCTCTTCCGGACACTTTGGGCTGCCTAGTATAACTATCCTTTCCACCAGGAACACAACAAAGATGAGGCATAGCACCAAAAACACACTCCGCTTAAGCTTTATTGATGAATTGTTAGAGTCTTAAAAAACACACAGAAAAATCACGACGAGTAAAAAATGTATGGGCACTTTTAGGTTAAATCACTTACACAACCTGTAATTTTTCAATTTTTCTATTTTTTTATGCGAAACCGAGAGTAACCATATATCTGGTAGTAGTTTATGTCACTTAAACACCAAAATAATTAGTTTTTTGCACTACAGTAATATACAGACAAAATATGAAACGGAATCTAACCCAATATCTAAGTATGTACAGCTGATGAAGTAAACAAAAGTCCGCCCCCAGGCTGATCTTTTAAAGAACGGCAGTGATTCATTATTAGAATACTCAGAATGTTCTTAACAAAAGTTTCATCTTTAATCAATCACAATTGTTTATCTCCATCATTTACCGGATTAATAATACAGAAATCACAGATCAGTTACAAACAATTCATTATTTATAGTGATTTGCAGTAATTTTATTTAATTTTTATTAACAGTAGGTAACTTTAATTCTTATATATTTTCTCCATAATTATGTTCTAGGACTTGATCCAGTTCTGAACCTCTCAATTATTAGAATTTCTGCATGTAAACGCACACTTAATAATATCACGTGACAAAATGTAAAAAAATAATGAAAAAAATGAAAGAGAGGTATACGAATATAGATTATCTCATAATCATAAGTAAATTACAATTAACAAAATGCTTTGATATAAAATTACTGATTTAATATTGCATTTATATGCCTATAGTGTCTCTGTTCTCGAACAGTATTTTAGTTATTGTGAAATATTTCAATTACAGTACATAATAGTCGATGGGCAACAAAATAGAGCAATGTTCCATGGATAATGGAATTTCAAAACCCGCTTAATTATATTTATTAATGATCATAATATGGTTGAACTGGAAATTGAATTTCCGACAGTGTATACACATAATTCCAAAAACATTAAACTAAAGCATTTATTTATATTTATTTTTGGGGGTGCATATTTTTCAGTAACAGGTGGGTATTTTTTTAAAAAATAAAAATATTTTCAGATTCTTGACACACAGAAAAAAATATTAAATAAAGAATTCTATAAAATGTTGCAAATTTGGCTTGTATTAAATGTTACAGAATCCTACTTTTTATATTTAAAATTATTGGTTTGTCTATGGCGCCATCTAACGACGAGAGATCAGACTGATAGCTTTTCTGATTTACCATCTGAGACATACTTTTTAGCAGATGTCTATTTCAAAACTGTCAAAAATCAAATTTCTTTCATTGCTTCTCTAAAAAGTTTTTCTCATCGTAGCCATCTTGTCAGTGGCTTTATTAAAAAACAATTTTGTGATAAATTTTTAGTTTAGACTTTAGATGTTAAAGTCCGTTCTGTGATTTTTGTAATATAGTCATCTAGGTTAACAATAAAATGGGCCGCAAGAAGAAGAAGCTTTCGAAACCATGTGCTGGTATCCTTTTTACAAAACGCTACGCTATAAACCTATCGTGTCCTAGTTTTCGATGTTTCTGGCGGGCTAAATTTATCCTATTTATTTATAGAATAAACTTCCTTAACCAAATTTAGGTACTGCAACCGAGAATTCGAGGACGAAAAGATTCTGATACAACATCAAAAAGCAAAACATTTCAAATGCCATATTTGTCATAAAAAGCTATACACTGGTCCAGGTTTATCGATACACTGTATGCAAGTCCACAAGGAAACGATAGACAAAGTTCCTAATTCATTACCGAATCGTTCTAATGTAGATATAGAGATATACGGAATGGAGGGTAAGTCTATTATTAGACTCTCATAAACATAGGAGCAGCTCAGTGTTCTATTTAACCTTGCCAAATGCTGTTTAATATCTATTCGAGAGATATTTTTATGAAAATACCTTATATTTGTATAGTAGATACATATTTCAGTACTTTGTAGTGCAATGTTTTACAATCCTCAGTTAGTTTATTACTTCAGAGGTAAAAATTAATATTGTGTAGTTGTAAAACACTAGTACTAATAGCAGATTTGAATAAATAATTACTTAAACTATAAATAGTACTAGTATAATAGGTGTTTAGATTTAGGTATTTTAAAAATGCCTAGTTCAAATAATAATTGTTAAAATATTCTATTTTCAAAACTTTATTTTTAAACATAACTTTTAACATTATGCATAGATATATTTGACATTGCTTTCATTGAGGAATATTTCATAAAGGTAATTTTAAGGTTAATAAAATGTAATCTGACAGGTTAACAATGAGCTAGTAGTCAATGTTTGCATTTTGCTTCTGTTTAACAATGCTTGAAGAGATACTATAAATACAACTGCAGTCTAAATATTTGACTTACTCACATATAATTATTAGTTTATTCTGAAAAATTTACCTAGAATTGTTTAACTATATTGAAAGGAATTGAAATACATATACTGTATGTCCCCAGATTGTCTTTATAAGAGGAAAAACTTTTTAATTATTGACATTTCGAGAAAAATGCATTTTTCATAAAAAAATTTGCTTGTTTTAAAATAGTTAATGCCATTTATACTTTTCAAAATTTCCATATTGTTTTAAAGAAAATTAAAAAAACATGAAAATGTGTTTGAATTTTTTCCTAAAATCCTAAAAATCAAATGCGTTTCTATGGTAATACGATTTTTTAAAAATAAGTCAAAAGGTTTGTATAAACTTATGTTCTAAAATGCTTAGTTTCAGAGATAGAGGGTGTAGAAGTATCATTTTTATTTTGAGTTTTTCTAAATAATTTCTGAAATAACGCTAATATTTGGATGAAAATTGGTGTTTGAGAGTTTTTCGACATGAGAAGTTTGATTTTGATGTCAATATGACTCCTAATTATAGGGGGCTCCACTTACATGTGTTTTAACTGTTTTGAAGAGTAATAACTTTTCGTCTGTACCTGTATAAAGCTACTGAGTGAAAAAATATTGTGTAATTTTTTACATAAAAAATGTCTCTTGGTAAAAATCGCTACGAGAAACCGTTCTCAGGATATTTAGGATGGAAATAGTCAATACATGTCATTATTAACAAAAAATAAACATGTTGAGTAGATAGTTATTTGACTGAAATTATAAATTTGAGAACTTTTTATTTTTTCAAATTAATCATAAATTTTTCTTGGAAAAAATTATAAAACAACAGGGTTGGTATGATTTAAATCAAATGATTTAAATCAAGTGATTTTTTACATTTTTATCATGTGATTTAAATCAAAAAAAAAATATTGAAACTTTATTATAAATCAAAAAATAACTGTAAAAAGTTATAAAAATGTGTCCTAGAAAACTATAAAAATAGTGTATTGTTCTATTAGGAGTAAAAATTGTATTTTTTTTGATGATGCTGTACCGTTGAAGGACCATCGTAAAGCTATTCCGACGTTACAAGGACGCACAAAAAGTACATTTTTACTCCGAATAGAACATACTATTTTTTTAAAACATTAAAAATAATTTCTTAATCAATTTCAAACATTGCAAATAATATAAACAGTACTCGAGCAACAATTTTTACACTAGTTGAATTTGACACTTAATATCAATTTGATAATATATTTTTGGACTTTTGTGCTTAGGCGTAATGGTGTTTTACTTTTATGCCTAGGCGTTAAAATTAAAATGACAAAAATTAATACTTTTGAGACGTTAAAAAAAATCCTTTTGATCAGAAGCGGGCGACTTTTTTGCGAAATATATTGGTGACCGATATGAAAAAATATTGTTAGTGTTATCGATATCGGGTAGAGTTATAAAGATTTAGCCATTTAGGACAGGACTTTAATTGGAAATAAGTCCTAGTCATTTGGAAATCCGATTTAAATATTGTTTTGAATTAAAATCTAAAAAATCTGATTTAAATCAAATAAATCTGAAATATTTCGAGAACCATTACTGGTAGCAATTTATATCGAGAGACCTTTTTGACGTAAAAAACGTCGTAAAAGTATATTTTTTACTCAGTAGTTTTATACAGGTACGGACGAAAAGTTATTACTCTTCAAACCAGTTAAAAAATGTGTAGGTGGTACATTCTACAAGTAGGCGTCATGTTGACATCAAAGGCAAATTTTTCATGCCCAAAAACTCCAAGACACCAATTTTCATACAAATATCGAAATTAGTTCAGAAATGATTTACAAAAATCGAAATAAAAATGGAACTTCTACACTCTGTATCTCCCAAACTACATTTTAGGACATACACTTATACGAACTGTTTTACTTATTTTTTATCTGCAGAATATGCCGGGCCGAAGTTTCCGCAATACAGTTCGGACAACCCTGTATAGTATGTTATAGTTGTTACTTTATTTAGAAAAGATAATTTGCAGTTTTTGTATATTGTAATCATATAAGAGTTTGCCTTTGAACTGCTAATATAAGAATGACTCCACGCTGTGTTCGACATAATGTGGATCAACCTGCTCTCACTACCGGTTTCGGGGCCCTACCCCCATCATCAGGTGAGCTTGGGTATTTTCACAATATGTCGAGCACAGCGTGGAATTAATTTCTTTATATTAGCAGTTCAAGGCAAGAAACTCTTATATAATCTTTTAGTATATACCTAAAAACCTGCAAGAAATTTATTTTCCATTATATAATTTGGGCTAGCCGAAAAAGCCTTTATTTACTATCGATAGTTGTGCCCTCGGTGGTAGAAAGTACCACCATTGCACGCAGGCCGCTATCTCGCGATGTGGACTTAATATCTACCGCTACTTTACGACAAGTCGTGTTTATATACTCTGCGCTGTGCTCGACATATTGTGGAAATACCCAAGCTCACCTGATGATGGGGTAGGGCCCCGAAACCGGTAGTGAGAGCAGGTTGATCCACATTATGTCGAACACAGCGTGGAATTAATTTGTTATATTAGCAGTTCAAGGCAAGAAACTCTTATATAATTTTATTTTATACTTAGGGTCAGTTGGGGTAATCATAAACAGGGGCAATTGTAAACAGGTCCAATAACTTTTGATTTGACACAATTTATGAAAGCACCTCTTAAATAAAGTGTCTTAAAATAGACCCTTTTAAAATTTTCAGTGAAAACGTGAAAGTTTCAAAGTTATATCTTGTTAAAATTATCTTTGTTAAGATCGTTTACCATTACCCCAACTAACCCTACATAGTTTAGGTCTAAATCTTTATTTTTAATATCAATTTCCCTTTAGGTATTCCGTCAGCGGATTTAAAAGAGCACGACAGACAGAAACAGGGTAGTAGGAGTAACGACTCAGGATCAGACGACGACGAACCGGCATTAAAAAGGCCGAAACCAGAAGGATTACTGGGCAATGCCCCTCCAGGAATGCCCGGCGGCGTACCAGGACACCCTATGGTACCTCCTGGTATGATGGCGCCCCCGCCAGGTATGCCTCCGGGCATGTCCATGATGTCAATGGGACCTATGGGCGGACATTTTATGCATCCCGGGTAAGGAACGTGGTTTTAATGATGCAAGAAAGGGTTGTATAGTGTTTTTGTAGGATGGCGCAAATGTTGCCTCCTCACATGATGATGGCTGGTCAGGCAGGCCCACCGAAACCTTTGTTTCCCAGTGCGATACCTACGTCCTCGCCCGGAGCGGCTGTGGTAGGTGCAGATTTTAAACCTATTTCCTCAGGTAAATATGACAGTATTTTTTCTTTGAACTAATCATTGATATTTTACTTTATTGTTTAATATTTATTATTACTATATTACATAGTTCTAAACATGTTGGGTGTGTAGGTGTATTTTTTTTCAATAAATAAATCAGAAAAACGTTAAAAAATAGGAATAAATATACCAATTTTCAGCCATATCGAGAAAACATTTTTTTTCGTCATTTTTGACCAATAACAGGTGATTCTTGTGATATAAACAAAAATAACTGATCGGAAAGATATTGTATACCGGTTTTTTAGATTAAAAAGAGATTTGGTACGTCAGTATATGACTAATATGGATTAATAGACATATTGAATTGGTTTTGGTTACTTCCTGTTTCACCAAAGTGACTACGACTTTTAATTTTTAAATGGCACCCTCTGTATATTTCTATTTTATTCAATAGAAAATGACACTCTGAATAGAATGACATATCATGTGTCAACTTTTAACTTTTTTGTATATGGTTCATTTGTTCACTTGGAATGCGATTCATAACATGCGGTTCATAACGACAGTTTGACTCGAGATATCAAGTGGGTGGTACCAAATTATTTGTAAAAATACCTTTTCCTAAAATATTCTAATGAGCCACCCTTGTTCCATTTGAAAAAAATTAGATATGATTAAAAATACGAATTTGACATCTCTTAACTGGCTAGGATGAGGCATGAAAAACGTTAGACAATCAAATCTATTTTTTCAAGGCTCCTTGATTAAAAATTAGTGTTTTTAACACAGCCATGGCACCCTAGATTGAAATTTAAAATACAATTTTTTTAATGACATGTCATTCTACTCAGTGTCGTTTCCTATCGAATAAAGTAGAATTATACTGAGGGTGTCATTTAAAAATCAAAAGTTATAGTCATTTCCGGTGATACAGGAAGTGACCAAAAACAGTTGAATACTTTATTCAATCTTAATCTATGTCATAGTAACATAGTAAATGTTGTTTTTTTAATCCGAAAAAAACAACTTTCGTTGCACGTCATCAATGACGCCATGCGTCGTCTTATGGAGTTTGCTGGTAGTCTTATTATGATGTGCAACGAAAGTTATTTTAATTTCCCCATATAAACCCAACTTTGCAGTTAAAATCGGGGTTAAAACAATAAAAACTGTTTTAAACCGTAAAAGAACATGTTTTTTTTATCCTTGTCGTTTTTTTGATGTTTTTTTTTTCCAACATATTTAGGTGCAACGATATCAGCGCCACCTACTACAAACGTGTCAAGCGGGCCGAGTAGTGGCGATCCATCGAAAGTGAACACGATAGCCGCTACGGGGGCGTCAAGTAAAATTATCCACCCGGCCGAGGATATATCGCTGGAGGAGATAAAAGCCAGGCATCCGAAATACTCGAGGGGCGGGAGGGCGCGGAGCGAAGACAGGGGGTCGACTTCGAGCAACACCGCTTCGGAGGTAAGTGCGCAGGTACGTACAAGTTCCATATTTTGGTATTGAAGGTATTGTCACATTTTCTTCTGTAGTCTAAATCTTAAGAGTCCATTTTACTAGTCTGAAAAAGTAGCAAAATAAGCGTTCGGCATTTAAAACTTTATGTAAAACTGGCTAGGTATTTTTACACAAATGAAGTAGGAAATTAAAGATAAAGAAATATACTATATCCGTATTGTAGCACATTTTTAGACAACTTCTTTATTTTTAAGATTTTGATGGTCAAACGTCAACAAAATATTCCTTACGTTTCGACTAAATTTTCTCGAAAATAAAGACATAAGTTAAAATTCCGTTACAATACGAAAATAGATTAAAGTTTTGTGATTACAGTGATATATAATTTAGATGGTTTTGTAGCAAATTGCTCGCTATTTTATGCCAAATGCTGAAACTCTGCAAACTCAATCAAAGCACGTGTGTTTGGAATTTTGGATGTGGCTGTGATTTGGATGTGGCGATAGGATTGGGTTAAGCCTTAGGCAGATTTCTGAAATAGAATATATTTTTCTTTGTCCACACACTCGCTTTACCCGACCCCTGAGAGTGACCCTAACTGTACAGAGTAATAGCACAGATTAGGTATCCTATAAGTATACAGATAAAAATCTTGTCCCTAATTCATGGTACGAAAATTGTTTTTTATGACGATGTGGAAACGAGTCGTTTCCTGTGCGAAAAAATAAACGCGTAAAATAACAATAAACAGTGTAATAGAGAGATATCGCTAAACCGAATAGCGTGCATGGACGTTAATAAGGCCAGGTGTTATTTCCTTTACGTGAGGTGGTATTAACTCTCTTCATTTATAGTTATGGCATCGGAAAGAATTCTGATCGCGTCGCGTCCGCTATTTAAACTTATTATTAACTTTGAAATTGTTTTGTTTACTAGGTATTTTAAAACTAAAGGGCTAAAGTGCTTATTTCCAGTGCTTTATTGTTCAACGTCTGCCAATGGGTTTAGGGCAACAAGCAACAAATTCTCTTAGAAGGGCTAAGTCGTCATCTGCTGTAAACCTCAGATTCTTTATAGGTTCTTTAGTATTGGAAGAGGTGGAATCCATATTTTGGACCATATTTATTTGATTCAAAACTAATCCCAGCTACTTAAATATCAAATTACCTAATAAAACTAAAGCAATAATTCAAAACAATTCAAATATAACCTAAAATAAAAGATCTCGCAGGCCGGCTCCGGTTGTCAAATACCCGCACATGCCCATTTAAGCGATTTTTAAACGTTATCAGAGGTTATTTAGAAAGAGCGCTTGGTGTAATTGATCCGCAAATTACGTCAGGCGGTAACGTTATTAGCGGGTGTTGCGTTAAAAATTGACTCACGCATATCGTAACCATGATAAGGTACGCGTAAATACTGGATGAAGCTATTCGGTTTTCCGATATCTCTCTAATAACTGTGCCGGTCAGGTGCTGTGCACAATTTTAGAGGCCATAAGTGGGCGTGCTGTGTGCGCAAACTAGTCACCTAACTAATGCCCGATTCCGAAAATTGGAACCACGAAAAACAATAAAGAAAAAACAAAGATTATAATCTGTATAATCTGTGGTAAGAGACTCTTAAGTTAGTTTGTCATATGTTTAAGTTGTAATTGTAATGACACGAGTTATCAGATTTTAAAGAGTTGAGAGTAAATATCAGTGGTTAATGTAAATATTATGTAAAAAGACATTTTTTAGTTGAAGCAAAGAAACTACTTCTTCAGATTTTCAGAAAAATGTCTCCTTTCAATGTTAACAAACGTTATAAAAATTTAATATATTTTCTTATTTTCGGTACGTTACTGATATTTTTCTATTATTTTTGGGAAGGGAAAAACCCATTTATTTCTCTTTTATTAAATTTTATACATGTATTTTACATAAAAACTTAAAAACCCATCCCTGGTTATTTCCCCTTTTATGACGTCTCTAATTTTATTTTAATTTTGTATTTAACAATTTTATTAAATATATAACCTAATAGAAGCTCACAATAAAAGAACAGCTATTAGTATAAAGAAATAATTTTTCTCAAATCTGGACATTTTTTTAAAGTGTAGAATTAAGTCTAATACAAAATATGTGACTTTAATTAAATTGTTTTGTTTGAATGATGTTCTAAAGATATAATTTTCTCAGTTTATTTAAAAATACCTTTTAATAAAATCCAGATATTTTTCAGTGTACAAGCTAATTCTGTTTATCAAAATATGTGAATTCAGTGTCAAAAATTGGCGACATTACTTCAAAATAACCGATGATTTCTGCCGCTTCTGTATAGTTAAGGCATTTTAGGGACATAAAGCGCCATTACTACCGCTTTCGCGTTTAAAATATTCTAATAAGGTTGTGATGAGTTTGTTCAATTGCTTTTAAGCTATTTTGTACACTTCGCACTAAAAGAGGTTCTAAAAAGAATAATGTTTGACTGCAAGATTTGCTAGTAAAAGTTTTTAAACCTAAAATATTACAATACAATTCATTTAAACCAAAAACTCGTAAGACAAAATTAAAGTGTCATAACTAGTAGTGGGAACTATCGAATGAATACTATCGAAACATTCGATAGTTGCAATTCATTCGAATAATTCGTTAGCTAGTAAGAAAACATTCGTTGAAAACTATTCCAATAAAAATTATCGAATAGATGCGTCATCTGCCTTGAAATATTGTATTCTAGTAAGTCGGCAGCAAAAACCATTCATTTATAAAATTCATTTATTCGTCAGGATCGATTATAATAAAATATTAACTGGATTTTAGTCGTCGCCCGGCGACGTAGGTTT